ATTAACTTTTATAAATACAATTAACAATATTCATTGTTGTCGACACACAGAGATCAAGCTCAGATTGATACAATGGTTCTTAAGTTCGACGCAAAATATTAAACTCATTTATTTTTGCATGTTGTTTCAATTAATTTCAAGGTTTATCTATTTATAAATTCACCTGCAACATTTCAGTCCCTATTCAAATTGTGAAAACAGTGTTTTATTGAATCAAAATTTTCACAACCTTTCACAATGATAATTTTGTTAAAGGCTAACGAATTAATTTACGTTTAAATTCAAAACTTAGTGTATTGCGATGAAATTGTTACTATCTTTTATATCTTTCTATTACTGAGGACTTAATGAACGTTATTTTGATTTCTTTTAAGTTGATTAAATGGAGAATAAATACGATGTGACAGCGGTGGGTTTTGTTATTCACATTACAGCACGGAAGTTTGTTGGCAAATCTTTGCGTAAACGTCAGTCAAGGTCGAGAAATGGAGGAAATATCAATAATTTGTTAGTCAAAGATCATTTTTTACATACACAGTTTAATAACTAATAACTCGTTATTTTAAATAATAAGTCATTACATGTGATCTTGAACAACTCTCGTAAGTAATATGAGAGTTGTAATGACTACATTTTTGTGTACTATATTTTTACTGTATTGTCTATTTTATCATAGCTTGATTAAGCTTTTCAAAAGTTGAAAGAAACTCCCGATTATCTAATATCTTTAACTTTTAAGAGTCAGGTCTTATCAGGCATCGTTACCCTCTACCTAAATAAAAAACGAACAAGTTCTAAGCTTACGTGCTTGTTTAGTGCAGGCGTGTAATATTAGTGTCAGTAAACGTTTATAAAGATAATTTATAAATATAAAGACGTAAGTTTCAGCATGTGTCGCTCATCTATATACCTAACCCCTTGCGATAAGTGGCAAAATTTATTCAGTACAACTTCGGCTTTACTGTGAACGTTTTTCTATATAGTAAAAGTCTAATGTATGCGCAGCAAATGTTAGTTATAACTTGATATAATATAAAGACTGACGGAAAGAACTAAGCGTGTGGGATATCTCTACGCGGCAGAATCCGTAACGAAGAAGTGCGACAGAGAATCAATGTATACGAAATAGTATTAGTAAAAATAAGGTTGCATATTGGAGGAGACATTAGAGAAGAACTATGACCAGTAGTAGACTGATACAGGACCCCGCTGATCATGTAAAGCATTTGAGAAAACGCACAAAATAGTTAAACGACTTCAACTGTAGGTACATAACGTCTTCGCTTTGTTTTCTTGACTGCGTTAATGAGACTCCATGACTGTTAAACTTTATCGTCATCACAATATAATTCACCGTTGTAAAATCAATCGATCAAATTTTAACATAGTTCGAAAATTGCTATTAAGACCCGAAATGTCAATAACATTGACGAAATCATTGTTTACTTACATATAAAACGTAAATAGTATTGAGAAATATTGTTACATCTGCACATCATTAAGCGTAGCGTAAAACGTAAACAAGTCAATTGATAAACATCCACACAACGAACCGGCTGATTCAATCGGCTACCCTCATACCGCCTCCGGTCAGAGTGATTGACAACCATAAACACGCAAATTACAGGTGTTTGCGGGCAAATCCACACGTTCGACAAAGCGCCGATAAAAAGCCGGCGTTCATTCATGCCGACGCCGGCGGGCCTCGCGCCGCACGCACTCGCCGCTCACTGCTCGCCGCTCGTCGACACCTGATAAAGCCTGTTCGCCTTCGCATTGCCCATTGAAGATCGTCCCATACCTCACCACGTACCACCGCATGCCGACACGACCCACACCTCCAAACATACCTATAAATGTACGTTACAATTACATCAAGTAACCTGTATGTGATTACTTGTAACTTTTCATTTGAAACTTAAGAGCATGTTGTTTGTGCGTTTTGACTCTAAATTGGGCTCGTAAACCGGCGTTCTTTACGATTTTCTTTAACGAAGCTCGCCTGAAAGAAATGAAGCTTTGCACTCCTCGCAGCAACTAGTGCGAGGTGAATTAAAAAAAGACAAAAGGCAGGTATGTGGTTTTGTTTTCATTGAGCAGGATATAAACACGGTTGTGGCACGAGTGCGGGCGGGGTCACTTAAAGTTAGTGTCGGCTCGTAAACGTATCGGGCGGGGGCTACCGCACCGCCGCTCCGCCGCCCCGCGGCGACCGCTCGACACGCCGCCGCACGCCGCCACGCCAAGCCGCGCCGCACGCCGGCGACGCTCTCAATCGCACCCATTCACACAATATCATTCGTTGGATAAGACCTTGCCAATTTTATTAACAATTCACACTTTAAATTAACATTACAATTATCAATAAAACAAAGTCTAACGTTTCTTAGAAATCATCATAATATTGAACGGATGATTAGTATTAAAATGTATATTTATTCAGTATTTTTCCTAAAGTCATGGAAACAGTAGGTAATGGAAAATTTCACCAGCCAGGTACTTTAAAATAAACATCTGAAATCTTTATTCTTATATCTAAACTCTAATATGTTAAAAAAAGTTAAAAACGCTAATCTATAAGTTTTCTTTATCAACAAAGGATAGCACTAGAAAGCTAACATAAATAGGATTTTGTCTATTACAAGGACCATTAACTACTGGTCTTACACAAGCATTTTATAATAAAAGAACAACATTTAAATTTCTATTTCACTAGAACTATTGAAAAATAAAGTAAAACTACTGTTTGCAAATTTAGTTATTTTGTAGGGCGTATCCACTATAAGGTCCCCTGGGAAAGGCGGCGGCGGCGTTCCGACAACAGACAGCGGGTGTCAGCCGCCACGTGCTACCCGAGGCCACTCGCTCAGTGTCAAGGTCATTGCCACGCCAGTACACGCCGCACCCACGCTCCTCCGGCACCACAAATAGAACCGACCCACTCGGCTTCCCGCCGTGAGCCGAGCCACCGGCTCACTGAGTCACTGGGACACGACCCGCACCAACTTTATCCTACCACACACCTCTTGGCCAGGGTCAAGCTCTTCCCTTTGCTAGTATCCTCCGCACGGAAACTTTACTCTACTATCACCATACCTAGATCCAACAAACTTGGCTTATCGCGGTGAACCAAGCTAACGACTCACCGAGAAACAAAAGCTTCACTAACACTACTAAGCAATTCCAGGTCCTATTCTCTTCATCCCTCTGTCACGACACATATGGCCGATCCATTAAGCTTCATTCAAACCAAAATTTAGTCACCTAAACTCTGTCACTACACATTTGTAAGTACTTCCAATATCTTACCTTTCTTAGAATAACGTACGCCAACCGTTAAGCCTTACTAGTATGTCGTAGGGGGACTAGTGAACTATCGTGAAGTTCTTGCACAATTAACACGTCATACGGTCAACGGCTCATGTGAAGATTGTGCAAGATTTGATGATCTCTTGACACAAGCCTTGTGAGTACCAGTATGTAATTAAGTAATTTAGTTAACAAATATTTAAATAAACTAGCAATAGGCTAATGAAATTATTAAAATGCCAGGGCTATACAACGGAGCATGCAAATTATGCAGAATTGTTCAAAAATTCATTCCCACATAAGGTGAGAAGACATAAGATACCTTTATTACATCACGATCCTTATTCCTGTTTCGGACCAGTTGCAATATAAAAGTCCCACAACAGACTACACGGATATAAAAACCATGTTCACAAGATATTAAATCATAAATAACTGAACTAGTTGTTCAGTTGTGAACCAGCTTAGCTTCAACCAAGTTGATGGTTACATGACAAAAAGTTCCTATAATCCATGTTACATTACTGACTCGGCTTTATTTACAATCTGCACTGACAACCTTAAGTGTCATAACTCATATCTAAATATTTTTGTCTATAAAACTTTGGATCAAAATTATGTACTGTGGTTAAAACCTACATATTATTCCAAACGTCGATAGTACATTATGCTATACTATATATTTTAATAAACTAACATCGTGTTGTTATTGTCAATGTAAATATATAAAATGTTAATAGCATTAAATACAAAACAAATTTATTTAAATGTTGTACACGGTATCGCATTACTGACTGTTTAATCTCACGGTAACCATTTGCTCTTGTCACGTGACTACTTGTTCTGACTTCATTACCTGCTAACACGCAAACATTTCTTTCCATTGCAACTCGAATATTGATGTAACCTATCAGAACCCGCTATTGATAAAATATTCATAACGTTTCTATGAATAGCGCAGTGGGCCGAATAAGTTTTACTTAACTTATTTATAAAGCTAAATACGTAAGTTATAAGCATGATTACAATTAATAAGTACGATTTTTTAACAGGTATTTTATTTCACGACTCACTTACAAGCATTTGGAAACTATAGGATTAACTTATTTTATCCAAAAAATGTTATGAGGTAACAAAAAAGGTGTCACACAACTAAAGTTAAACACAATTTGTGACCAAAAGTAGGTGAGATGAGGTTAGATAATGCGGATATAAAGGCCCAGAGCTGCCCCGTCGCGACGGGTCAAGTGGCTTGTTCAGAAGGACACTTGTCTACGATCTACAATATTTAAGAGAGCCTTTTTCATCGTTTAACTTGATTCCATTTGTAAAGAGTATGAATGGATGTCATGTATAATCGTTTATCAATTAAAAGCGCTACACGAGGCGTGTTATTGTTTCGGGTCTGACGTAATGAATATCATCAAATTAAGCTCTAAGCTCACAGAAACATTACTGGGACCTTAATTCGCGATTAAAGCGAATATAGTATGCGGGGTGAGTGGTGGCGCGGAGACGAAGGCTGCGGGGCGTGTGCGGGGTGGGGTGCGCGCGAGGGGGCGTCGGCGCAGGGGGGCGCGCGCCGCGGGCCGCCACTTCTCTGTGCTCGAGGAGCCCCGGTGCACCTCGGTTTCCGGGCGGCGCTCCCTCGCGGCTCCGCAAGTGTCCCGCCGCGCCAGCTCGCGCCGCGTGCCGGCCACGTGGCGCTCCCGCTCACGGCCTACGACACCTCGCAACCCGCTACTCGCTCCGACTGTGCACCTCTGTCCCATTGATAAGCCCTCGTAAAACAATCACCCCTTGATTATTCCTATTTGTTGTTGTTTTTATTTTTTTCAAGTACCTGCTTTTTTGATCTTCGTCATTTTGTTCTTATTCCAACATTTATTTATTTTGATGTTATCTTCATGCCTTTTCGGGTAATACGAAAGTTTCGTTTAATTTTATTAAATTCATATTAAATGACACCGTGTGTACGAAATCGGTTGATTACATTTTTCTTGAAGAAAATTATGCGAACAAATTAAAAAAGTTAACTAACTCCTATCATTTGATAGGAGCTTTAATTTAATTTGCAAGATTGTTTAAGACTTTACTTTTCTACACAAATTCTTAATTTGTTTTTGCAAGTTTTATATTTAAGTTAAATTTTAAGATATCTTTTTCAAACATCCTTACGTTATAGAAAAATGAGTAAAATTAACATTGACAATATAAGGAAGAAGTTCGTTTTCAAAAGAAACAATTAAAACAGTGATATAAAAACAAAAACTCGTATATAAATAGTGCATAAAACCTTGATATTTCAAAATGGAATCCCAAGTTATCATGGACGATCAAGAAAGATGCTACAAAATGTATAATATGTACAAGGTGAGTGAAATGAAATATTCCGATATGGAATTTCAATTTTAAATATAGCCGTCTCGCTCGCACTCGTAGCGCTCCGGGAAGAATCTCGCCGTCGCGCTTACACGCCAATTTAATTAAAGGTAAACTGGAATTCATTTAGAATCTTATTTATTTTTACAACGTTAAAATTTAAATATGTAGATACAGTAATTTAAGAGTATTAAAAAAATAAAAACTGTAATATGATTTATACAGCTATTATAGTAATTAAGAAACTTATATTTAAATTATAATATATTGAGTTAATTACAAATATTTAATGCAAAGAGTATTTCAAATATAAGAAACACGCAAAGATTGATTTTGCATCTTTAAAATATTAAATATTTTATTAAAAGTGTATTTAAATCTATTTCGATAATGCATAATCAAAGATTTATGAAAAGAAATGTAATTTTAATAATTACTATGAATCCATCTTACATTTTACGTTATAACTAATAAATAAGAATTTTATAATTATATGTTTAAACTTCAAACGGCTATAAATAAACTATAAAAAGTTGTTAATTCTACATCAGTTTCAATAATTATTTAGCAATTTAATTGTTAAATCTATGTCACCTTCTTTATGGCGCTTAGTACAAGCATGTTTGATTTTATGTATAAGTTTTGAAGGTTAAAGTGCAATCGTGTCGAATACCGACGGAACAAATGTTACCAAGTTATACTGTAACTTGATTTCAAGGAAAAAAGTTATACAACAACCGTTAAGTTGAGCCTGTTATTTAATAATTACATCAGTCAATTACCTTCTTTTCATGACGAATCTTGACTATTTTTAAAGTTTTATTTTTAAAAAGGTGAATGGTTACATTTTAATTTAAATATCGTATTAATTAGTTATTTATTTATTTGTATGCAATGTACAATAAAATATACTTGTATTATATGTTATTTAACTCGTAGGTTTGTAAGAAACCTGCACATTGTCTTGATTTGAAACTTGAAATACATATACTAACTATCGCCATGGACTCCGTCCGCCCGAAATAAAAAAATCTTAATGAGTAACCTATGTGTTCTCCTAGATTATGTTCTACATCTGTGCAAAATTTCATCAAGATCCGTAGAGCCGTTCCGGAGTTACCTTCATACAAACATCCATCCATCTAGTTAGTGTCTAGTTACTTCTACAATCTACAATCACAGTTCAGTTTTTTTGTAAAACGCCTTGAGAGACTCAAATTATTCCGTTTTCGGGTTAGAATTGACTCCCGTTTGTGGTTTATTGCTGGCATCTCGCTCTTGGCTTTGGGGATACCGCAAAGCCGAGCCGGAGACAAAAATACGCTTAGATTTAAGTTTAAACCTCTTTGCTTGTAAACCTTCGACTATTCTGAGTCTGCGATCTGAATATTTGTAAACACTGGTCATCAATGTAGCCGTAATCGAGCGTGTAGATTTAGTCGCCTTTATACCCGTTTCTAGAAAGTATATTGTTGATTTGCCTAACTATACCATCAGTTTGCGCTGTTACTTGAATATTGGTCGATTAGGAGGCATTCAGGTCTTAAGTTCGTTTCTTAAGTTTAGGTTAAGTTGTAAGTGACTGACAGTCAACTATGTAGGTAGCAGATAGTTAAGTAATTCTTGTCACAATTTTGCTGTCAATTAATACATTTAGTAAGATTATAAACTGGCAAAATACAAAGTCAATCAGTGACATATACATTGTATTGTAAATATACTTTAGAAACTATCTTTCATCTAAAGAAAAAGTTATAATTAAGAAGAACGCCATTAATAGCTTCTTGCAACTTTCTCCGGCTCATTAAAGTTTTTCATTAAACATAGCAATAAGTTCCACTCCTCGGTTTGTTCGCAATACAAATTTATAGTCGACGTTTTATTTATTGATAAGAAACATTTTAATTAAATTCGAATCGTATTTTTTTTTCTTTGCCTTCATATATGAAATGGTTACTTATCATTTTTATAATATTTATTGCGTAGTTCATTTTTATGTAGTTGACAGTAATTATTGGTTAAACTATGTTATTACTAGCCATCGCCTCCGTCCGCGTGGAATTAAAAAAAAACATAATAAGTAAAATATGTGGTCTTCCAGACTATGTTCTGTATGTATGGCAAATTTCATCGAGATCCGTTCAGCCGTTCTGGAGATGCAAAGAAACATCCAATCCATCCATCTAAACATTCGCATTTATAATATTATTAAGATAGTACGATAGTATATGTTTGTTTTTAAACCACTCTAAAATCATTTCTTCGATTTAATCTCACTCATATCTATTGAACTTATACATAAGTTTGTTTAATATTTTATTATAGTTTTAACGATATCATTATTACAGTATGTACACGAAAGAAGCTAGAATTACTAGTAAGTAATAAATTATAGAAATTACTCAGTTGCGACTTGATTACGTAAGACCATCGTAAGACCTTCGTTGTGAATTTGCGATTATGAAATTGTCCCAATTAGATATATTCGTATCTGTTTGCAGCTAAAAATTGCTAACAAACATTTTAAGCGGTTAACATATACAAGGCAAACAAGTTTACGTTGATACGGACAAAAAATGAATTGATTACCAATTACATTAGTAGATTTAGACCCTATATTACACGACATATTTACATATTTTATTACAAATATGTAATATGTGTAGTAATTCTAGAAATTCTACTAGTCTACACAGTAACTTACTTCTTGATTTTTAACTTGACAACTCTAAGTTAGAGTTGTCAAGTAGTCAAATTGTTATGATATTAAACTTTTGTAATAAGCGAAAACGTTGGATCTGTTTTTAAGAACATAGCAAGAAAGAAAAACGATAAATTTGACAGATTTAAAGTAAATATGGAGAAATGCAGGAAGATGTTAAGGGTTGACTAGGCCATAGTCAACCACGCTGGCTCAGTGTGGATTGCTTGACTTCACACATATGTATGTATCTTTGATAAATGTACATACTTTTAGACATTATTAGTTAGAATCCTTTGGCACGAATGGCGCGCTTTCGTTACCCAGTCAAGTGTCAGAATGATTAGTGAGGGGACATAAACGTCGACATTTTAGTAAGGCTAGTGCTGCGCCAGCACATCGGCTCAGTGTCAGATTTTCTACCTAACAATATGTAAATCAAAAAATACATTGGTACATGGCAGGATTCGAACCTAGGACCTGTAGATTACAAGTCAAGTGTTTTAACCCCTGAGCTACCGACGGTCTATTAAAATAATTCATTAACAATCATTAATTAATGTAATATCAAACCAAGATGTTCCTATAATTTATTATCTCTACCAAATTATTAAACGCAAACCAATAAATATGAGTTAAATGACATCAACATGGAATACAATTTTACAAACAAAACACCGACGTTTATATCGGGCAATATATATTTTATCGGCATACTATCGCATACCGTGAAATAATGCTTTAGTGCTCGGTCAACGGGCGGAATTCAATTTCACACATACATTTTTCCCTCAATAGACAATCGGTGGCTTCGGAATTGTGAATTAAAATTATTTTAATGCACTTTACTTCGTAAAAATTTAATTATTACCCATACAAATCCAAAGAGTTATAAATACATCGGAAATGTTCACTTTAAAATGTTATTGATACATTATTCATCGTTATTTTATAATGAAGCTGTAATACCAAATCCTAGCACTACTCTGGATTGATATTTTTTACTAATTTATGTTATCCCTACCATTATTTTTGACAGCACAGAGACAATAAATATTTTTACAAATGTCAACAGTTTAAACTCATCGTAATATTTATCTGTTATGAGCCCTTATCGCATTCCGGGAATCTATCCCGAATCCGAGGTAAAAACTTGGGAGTCAACCGACATAATACTCCCCGAACAACTATCGTAACCCCACACAAAAAGATCAAAGACCAACTCTGTCTCATTTTCACAGTATAATAATGTAAGTTATATAAATTGTTTCAGAAAATTATTATTATGTAAGTACTACGGTCGAAAACTGAAACGAATCGAATTAAAGTAAGCGCCGCCGTCTACAATCTGAAAAACGTCAAGATTTCGATAGAATTTTTAAGTTTAAGCGTGGCCTTATCATTTAAGACACTGTTACATATTTAAATATCATTTCAGCACTCGGCTGTTAGTGATTAACTTTTCAAATGTTTCAATGTAATTTTAAATTTGAGACAAATTACAGTATTAATCGACACAAAATTAGTCTATAGTTTAGAAATTAAACTTAAAGAAGTTTTCTCGACAGTGAAAATAATTTAGTATGGGTGATTTCAATTGCTTTCAGACACAGGGCATAGGCAATGTTTAGGTTGCATGTAGCAGCAGCGCCATCGGCGCGATGCGGATGGCGAGCGCACTAGAGCAACGCGGCGCCCCGCCGCGGCGCGCGCCGCGACCGCCACGCAGTCTTCCCGCGCGGTCCGCACGTGTGCCTAGCGTGTCTATACAGCTCCGCAAACATTCAAGCCGAATACGAACTAAATGCTAACATCGAAGTGCGGCAATTACTAACAAAAAAACTCTATGTGTCACCACTTTGTGCCCCGACGTGCTACGTTACGACACTAACGTACTGTGCAACAATTTCAGTGCTCCGACAATAGGAACTTTAATTGTTTTATTTCTTACTTCCTCGATAGATTAATTAGATCTTACATGGAACCGGAACGTTTTAAATTAATGTTTGAAGTTTATTAGATGAATTTCACTGGATAAAACATATGGCGGACACAACGACCTGAATGGTGGGTAATTAACTTTCTACTTAATATTACTTATAATGTTTTCTTTAATGCAATGTGATATACTCGATTGATAGAAAGTTTGTTAAAATATGTAATCAAAGTTAAGGCTAATTAAATTGTTCAACTTTATTTAATTTCAAACGGTGTAACCAAGTTCGGAGAAAAAAAGAACATTGTTATACTTGGCGTCACTGTAGTTTTAAACATTAATTATACGTATTAA